TGAAAGTTCAAGTTTGTCCCAAACCAGCAGGCGAAGGCCAAAAATTGATTGAAATCATGTTTTCTATAATGAAACAACCATTTGTAAGTTGTAGAAGTTGTTGATATTGAGTAACTACAATGAGCCACAAGGCCAATTTTGGCTCAGGAAAACTCTCATAACTTCAAACACAGAAATGCATAGCACATATGGAATGCAGATTTGGAGTTAGCGTTTCAAGCTGTATCAAGAATTTCTCCTTTTTGAACGCAGCGTTTCAAGCTGTATCAAGACATTCTCTTTTTTGAAGCTACTTCGACTAAACACCTTCCCTCTTCAAATATAAGAGTGAAATCTAGAAAGTTTTAAACCTTAATAAAGGGCAGGTAAAGAACGACACTTGCCAGGTTTTTCTCTTAACTTTAGCAAAGTGCTCTTTTCCCACATCTTCACAAATTACAATAATATGTAGCAGCAAAAGGGCAAACAGTCGTAGCATGCTGTTAATATGTCGACGAAAAATAGTATCTTTTATGTGCGTAATATTTAATAAGTTTCAGTATAGCATATAACTACGTGCTCTTTCTCGGATATATATTTTTTAAGTCGTCAAAGCTCAAATTTTGCACTTTTATATTCAAGGAAAGTAGGAGTGTTGCAGACTCTTTATTTGGATTTAAAACTTGAGCTCGTTGGCCTATAATTTCTTGAGTCGGCCAGTTTATATCTTACGAATAAGTATAAATGACTCAAAAATCAAATGCAGGCTAAATTTTCTGGAAACTGGCATATCAGAGAGGCCACCCCTAAGAGGAAACAACTAACCGATTATTGCCTATCTGCACAATCTATTTTGAAGAGATTTTAAATATTCAGTAGACTGTTGAAAGGCAAGAAATAGATTTAGACTACTAATCTGTCATTTTCTATGTTAGTATTCTGCAAATATGTGTCTATTTTACTCAATCAAGCAAGTAATGTGATTCTGGATGATCAAGATCAACCGATCTCACAAAGGGGTTCTAATTCCTGTTGATCAAACGTTTTACTACTTTATATGATAGTCATCGTAAACGCTGGAAACTTTTTCCGAATCATGATGTACAATACAACAAAATTTACGTGGAAAAGCATCTCGTTGTCCTTAAATTAGAGTTGCAGTGTTATAACAGCATGAGTTGTCGTCACTCAGCTGCGTCAAGATAGTTTGCGGAAAATGAAAATTGTGACAGAAGCTGCTTTTACGTTAATAATTTTTGCACGATTGGAAAAAGTGCTTCCATTAAAAATAGTCAATCTAATGCAGTTGCAACAATTTCACGCTTCGAGAAGTTCTAAAGATAAAATTAGTTGAAAGACATTTTGATGAGCGTTTCAGTTATTGGCATTAGTAGAGCGCGAGAAAAGGATGAAGCAAAGCATATCAATGGAATTACCGTTCATCATCTAAAGCGCATTTTTTCGATTAGCAACAATGTTCGAGAAAAATTTTGTGTTGGTGTGGCCTCCGCCTACTCTGCTCCTGTCATTGTTGCCTGCGCGATTATTCTGCCTTCACTGTATAACACCAATAACGAAATCCACGATTTGGTTCTCGACAGCGTTTCGTACCTGTAGAGACCGATTACGCAAGGGCTCAGATGGACTTTCAGTTGCTTAGATTCTCGAGGCTTCCTAGTAGGAAACTCTTCAACTCAAATTTTCATCATAAGAGACAACCAGGTCTTCCATCATACTGCCAGTGCCCTCCATGACCT